TTAGTTGATACTCTTAATCTTCAAAATATTAAGTATTCTGTTGCATTTGATTTAAAGTGTGCAAACTCAATGTTTGGCATTACAAGCCATGCTGGAAAATATAGTTGTTTGTGGTGTGAAGGAGAGAGTCTTTTGGATGGTGGAGAAAAACGAACTCTCGGTTCCCTCGATTATCATTACAGTAAATACACAGAAGCTGGAAAACCAAAATCAAAGATGGCTTATATTATAAAAATGTTATTAATCCAAGATTATTATATCTTGAAGAGGATCCAGACACAATTATTAAAAATTTAGTTCCAGTACCTGAGTTGCACACATTAATCGGAATAGTTTCAACATTTGGAAAACTATTATCAAAACTATGGCCTGGCTTTGAAAAGTGGTTAAACTCAAATTACATATTTTTCAGAGGTTACCATGGCGTTGGATTTGATGGCAACAATGCCAACAGACTTTTAGATAAGTTAGATGTTCTTTCTCGTGATATTGCTGATCAAGGAAAGCTTGATTTACTACCAGTAATTGAATGTTTAAGAAAGTTTCAAGCAATGAAGCAAGCAACCTTTGGAGAAAAAATTATTGGTGATATTGAATCTGTTGTTTTTGAATTCAAGATGTCTTATGCTAATTTAATGGAATATATTAATACTTACTTTGAAAACATTTCTTTGAATATACCGTGGAAAGTTCATATTGCAGTTAACCATATTGTACCATTTCTAAAAAGTACCAATACTGATAATGGACTTGGAATTTATTTTGAACAAGCAGGTGAATCTGTTCATCATGAGTTTAAAAAGACATGGATTAGATATAAAAGATGACAAAGCCACCCAGACTATGCTAAACGATTAAAGTCAAGTGTTGTGGAATTTTCAACATTTAATAAATAATTAACAAGTTCACTTTTCAATTTAATATATTGTTGATCCACAACTAAGTCAAAATTATTTCCAAAGTATTTTAATAGCATGAAAGATACTTTTAATTGAGTGTTGATAAAATATAATGCTATTTTTGCATTTCAAAGCTTAGTCAAGATATTTTTCACATTAAATGCATTTTGTTGTTGTTGTTTTTATACCTACATTCTTTTCCTATGTAATCTGTTATAGAAATGTTTTAACACTTTTTTAATGCTTTTATATAGGGGAGTAAACAAGAGCAGAATAAAAATTAGGTTTCTTCATGAAATTATGTAAAATATATGAACTTCAATAGAGTTAGCGATGTACCGCCCCTCCCCTTTGTATCTAAAGTTCAGATGTGTAAAAAATTTATTCTAGCCATTCCTATGGAGGTTCTTAATACCTTTACTTAATTTATATACTATGTTACTTCTTAATAAGAAAAAAAAATTGGATGTGGGGAGACTTCAAACCTGGCGGTTATTGTGGTTCACAGTGATATTTGTTGTTTATAAAATTGATAACATTTTTTTTTTGAAAATTTTTTTAATACTAATGTTATTAATTTTTATTAACAACAAACATTTGATATGGTTAATGGAAAATTATATATATATATATATATATATTATATATATATATATATATATATATATATTTGTACAATTTTAAAAATGTATTCTACAAAATTGAGTGCTCAATTTTCTTAAAAGAACAGAGTAATTATAAATTAGTTGAAAATTACTTAACAAAATTGTCACGTGGGGGGGGGGGCCATTACAACTTTTGCCGTCTAAAAAAAAAAAAAAAGGTCCTCGTTTTTTAAAATTTACCGACTGCCATAACGACATTTGCCGACTGACTTTACCGACTAACCTATCAACAGGGTCTACATTTGCCAACTAACTAGTCAAAAAGGGTCCCATTTGCCGACTATGCGTCACCCCCACACACCCCTATCGCGCCGGCCTTGCATAAATATATATATATATATATATATATATATAAAGTATAATTAAATAGAAAAATACAACTTTATAATGGAACTAAAAGTTTCATGCCTATCGGCAATCTTAAGCCGTATATATTATCAAATCAAGAAGTATAAATCAAGAAAAAACCATTAAAAGAAATACAAAAACAGCAGTAGAATGAGTTCCGACGTCAAAACAAAACGAATAGAAAAGAAGCATAGTTGTAAAACTGCTAATCGCCAGTGTCAAATCGGGCAAGAAGGAACTTATTTTTATGCCGGCACTTAGATAATATTTCACTCTTTTTATTTAACAAATTTGGGTGTTTAAAAAATAAAATTACGTACTTTTCGTTTATGCATAAGTTACATCGTTTTGTTACAGGGTTATAGGCATCGCACTGTTTAATTATTTTCCACCTTACAACCGGGTTCAAGTTTTCATCTTTTAATCTCCAAACCTCCTTTGATAATTCAGTGTCATTTTTGTATTTGGGAATTTTAAAAGATTTTATGTGATTAGCATATCTAATTTTAAAATATGTTTCGCTTATGCCAATGTAAAATTTATTGATGGGAGTTTGAACAAGATCGTTGGAACATACATTAGCTTGAT